TTTATTTTAATATACTAGATAAAACTGAAGAGAGAATGAATGAAGTGGAATATGGTCAGTAGAAAATAACTAAGAGTAAAGCACAGAGACAAAGAGAATAATAAGTACAGAATAGAGGGTCAGATACAAAGGCAATACATGTAATTAAAGTCCTAAAAGGAGAGCAAAGGAGAGAGAGGATGGAAGGAATATTTGAAGACATACTAATAATTTTCCAAAACTTGGAAAACACAATTCCACAGGTTCAGAAGGCCCGCAACCCAAGAGCCCAATAAATGAAAATTTAAAATAATCTAATTTCATTGTAAACTGCTTAAAAGCACAAACAGAAAAAATCAAAATCAGAGGAAAACATAAACTACACCTGACTTTTCAAAGGAAACAATGGAAGGCAAAAGACAGGATGGACTATCTTCAGAGTTCTGAGATAGAACCTAAAATTCTTTACCTAGTGAAATGTCCTTTAAAGCATAAAAATAAAATAGGTCTTTTTCTGAAAAAATATGAACTGGAGTAGCCTAGAGTAGGAGTTAGGGAGTCATCAGCTTGTAGGTGCAATTTAAAGCTGGTAGTGTAGATAAGATTAGCTAAATGAGTAGAGAGAAACCTGAAGATCCAAGATTGAACCCTAAAAACTCCATTCTGATTCATCTTAGAACTTTATTCATAGAACAAGGGGATGTATATTAAGTAAGAAATCACAGAGTCCAGTCCTCTCCTTTTAAAAATGAACCAAAACCTGGCAATATAAAATAAATGGTCCAAGGTCACATGACCTAATGTTCATAGATATAAAGACAGAATGCTCCTTCTAATTGTGTTCCTCTATCCACATAATGTCCCTTTTCTGTAACTGTAAAACCAGGTCTTGTTAACATGCTTATTGTGTACAGGGTCCTATACTTAATAACTTTAAGAACTATTTCCTTCAACATAAATGTAATATACATTCATTCTTGAGTGTAGTGCATAAGAACTGGCTCTAGAATTAGACTGCCTGTTTTCAACTCCAATTCTACTGGCTATCTGGTGTGACCTGGGATAAATTACTTTTAACAGTTCTAAATTTAAATTTCCTAATCTTTAAATTGGGTCATTGAAAGGATTAGATGAGGTGGTGCATATAAATACAAAGAACAAAATAAAAAGCAATTCATTGACCCTGAAATAGCCACTGGGGTTATTTCTCTATCTCAATGGAGAGTTTTTAGAATTACATTATTGCTACATTTAAGAACTTTTTAAATTGTGGTAAATACACATAACATAAAATTTACCTTTTTAACTATTTAAAATTGTCATTCACAGTATTGTCCAGCCATCACCACTATCAAGTTCCAGAGCTCTTTCATCATCTCAGATGGAAAGCCCATAATCATGACTTCCCATCCTTCAGCCCCTGGCAACCACTACCAAAGAACATTTTGGGTGTTGTGGATATTTCATTTCAGTGGAATTGTATAATACAAGGCCTTTGTGCCTGACCTCTTTTGCTTAGCATAATGTTTTTAAGGTTCATCCACATTGTAATAACCTCTGTCAGTACTTTGGTCCTTTTTGTGACTGAGTAAGATTCCATTTGATGGATATATCACATTTTGTTTATTCATCAGTTCAGAGCATTTGAATTGTTTCCACCTTTGGCTGCAATGAATAGTGCTTTTATGAACATTTGTGTACAAGTTTTTGTTTGAAAATCTACTTTCATTTCTTTTGGATATATACCTGAAGGGCCCCCACCAGTAAGCTGGCGAACTTCCGGCTTCTCTTCTGGGTCCTCAGTTCCTGACGGTGCCACCTGAAGACCAATCACCTCTCTCCCCCCTCCCACTCCCAGCACCTAGCCATTAGCCACCAGCCCTGTAGAAGTGACACCTTAATCAGCTCATGCCCCTTCCTATATAACCCAGCACCTTTCCCTAATAAAGCGGAATTCTCCGGTGAATTGCTGCTGTGTGTCGCTCCTTTCCTTTCAATACCTAGGTGGAATTGCTGCATCACATGGTAATTCTATGTTTAACTTTTTGAGGAATGACCAAACTATTTTTTTCAGTGGCTGCACCATTTTACATTCACACCAGCAATATACAAGGGTTGCAAATTTTTCATGATCTTGTCAACACTTATTTTCATTTTTGTTTTGTTTTTATAGACATCCTAGTGGATATAGGTGGTATCTCATTGTGATTTTGAATTACACTTCCCTAATGACTAATAGTGTTGATCATATTTGTATGTGTTTTTTGGCCATTTGTATATATTCTTTGGAAATTAGTCTTTAAAAAAGTCTATTTTTAAATTGGGTCTTTCTGTTGAGCTTGAGTTTTTTTATATACTTTGCATACTAGAACCTTGTGTAATATATGAGTTTAAAATGTTTTCCCCCATTCTGTAGATTGTCTTTTCATTCTCTTGATAGTGTCCTTTGATTACAAGATTTTACCTTTGATGAAGTCTAATTTATCCCTTTTGTTGTTGTGCTTTTAGTGTCAACTTTAAAAAACCATCACCAAATCCATGACTGTGAAAGTTTACCCCTTATTTTCTTCTAAGAATTTTATAGTTTTGGTTCTTGTATTTATCTCAGTCTCTGATCCATTTTGAATTAATTTTTACATTTGGCTTGAGTTAGGGGTAGAACTTCATTTTTTTTCATGTGAATATCCAGCATGGTTTGTTGAACAGACTATTCTTTCCCTACTTAATGACCTGGAAACTTCTATCAAAAATCAGTCAACCATACACATATGTGTTTATTTTTGAACCCTCAGGTCTATTTCATTGATTTGTATGTCTGTCCTTATGCCACTACCACATTATCTTCATTATTGTAACTTTGTAGCAAGTTTTGAAATTTGGAAGTTTGAGTCTTCCAGCTTTTGTTCTTTCCAAGATTGTGTTAGCTCTTTTGGGCCCCTTCCAACTCCATAATAATTTTAGAATCAGCTTTAACATGTCTTCGAGAAAGGCATTCAGGATTTAGCTAGGGATTGCGTTCAGTAGAAAATTTTGCTAGTATTGCTGTCTGAACAATATTAAGTCTTCCAACCCATGAATTCAGGGTGTCTTTCCATTTGTTTAGGTCATCTTCAATTACTTTCAGCAATGTTTTATGGTTTTTCAGTATGTAAGTCTTGCACCTCCTTGGTTAAATTTATTCCTTAGTATTTTATTTTTTTGATACTTTTATAAATGGAATTGTTTTCTTCATTTTTCTTATTGTTTATCAGAAAATATATACTGTATAGAAATATATTTTTTTGGTGTGTTGATCATGTATCCCACAACTTTCCTGAAATTGCTTTTTGCTCTAATAGTTTTTGTGGATTCCATTGGGTTTTCTGTATATAATATCATGTCATGTGCATTTTTAAAGACACTGTTAGACCTAGTTACTACCTTTACACCAATTTAAGTTGCAGAGCAAGTTGCAGATCAGTGTCTTAGTGGGTTGTGAAATCAATTGAATGTATATGTTTTGTGTAATTTTTATAGATAAAACAATGCATGTACATGTGTTTGAGTCCTTATAGAAAGCGTATTTCTTACGTGAATTAAAGTAAACATGCCATGTTTTACATCATATAATTGGAATATAAAATTATGGAATTAGATAAAGGTGAAAGTGTTAGTAGTTGCCTGTCATTACCTTGAAAGTGATCATTTTGTATTGGATGCTGTCTTCTGGATACAAAAATAACTGAGCAAAAAGTATACTCTCTGTTCATTGATACCTGTGTGAATAATAAGCTTATGAGATTTTTGCTTTTCATGCTTCTAATGAATCAATTCTTAGCTTCATTTTGGTACTATGGAGAAAGTTTCTTGCTGAAACTGAAGATATTTTCTTGAGAATGTATTTTATTAAAGATAGTAATCTAATTATTAAATTGCATATGATACTCAGTAAAAATGAAAATAATAAAAAGCCACATTATGAAGGATAATGCAATCTACAAAGACATCTTTTACTCTCCAACAGATAGAAATTAAATATAATGTATATTTCTGGTAATGGTATTAAGGTCAGATTTATTGAATATAGTAAGAAGGGAAAACTTACAGCTTTTTAATGCAAATGAAGTACCTTAAAATATAGCTATTGTATTACCTGGACACAAAATGATTAATTTATGGAAAGATAAAATTATTCCCTTGCACTAGACTTCTAGTAGGTTCTTTCCAGTTTAATAAATTGAATGGTGTTTGAGTTTTCTGAATTGTTGTGCATGATGTTAAGTTGCATCTTTTACCCACAAGTATTTTTGTGGGGTTTATATGTTGTGCACAGGAAAGTACATGAGGACTGGAGGCATCACCACTGGGGTATGTTGCCCTGTGCCCTCTTACCTCTACTCCCCACCTACTAATGAGGCATCTTTCCAGGGGTCCACATGTTCTCTTGATATTCTTTTTATTACATTACACAATTCAACATGTATAAGAATGAGCCTGGGCTTCAGAAATAACTGTGTTGAATTTTTTCTCTTTCATGTCAACTTTATGACTGTGGACAAGTCACTTGACTCTCTCAGCCTTAGTTTCCTTTGCTAAAAAATGGGGATAATTTAGGGTTACATTGAACAGTAAATGATATTATTGTATGTATATGACATGTCAAATATAGTGTCTGGCATGATAAATATGTAATAAATGATAGCTATTAAAATGTCTGAGTTATGATTAATACCCAGTAAATGATAGTTCCCTTTCTGCTACCAACCCAAACTTCTACATATGTCCTATCATTTTCAAATGGAAGCTAACCAATTCTAGTAAGCTCATCTGTGCTGTTGAATTGTTACTTGTGGACCACTTTTTCCATACAGTTGTATAGACTTTACTGTTATTCTTGTGATACATTAGGCTTTGGATGATGGGAATTGCCTTGCTGTGTGATACAAAAATACAAGTATTCTGGGTGTATTTGTTTTTAAGGTACCAAAAAAACCTATGCAAATAATAAACAAGCATGATTTTTTTATTTTCCTTTGCTGTAGTTATGTGCTGCTCATCTCCCAACTGAATCAGAGGCACCAAATCATTATCAGGCAGTATGTCGTGCACTGTTTGCAGAAACAATGGAGCTGCATACATTTCTGACTAAAATTAAGAGTGCAAAGGAGGTAAGTGCTACTGCTTTCACATTTATTGGTATTGTGAAAGATAAACTTGGATTTTCAACATTGTCCATAATAATATTTAAAATATTTATTACCATCTTTCTGATGAGTAGGAAAATTATTTAGGAAAGAAGCAACTTAGGCAAAAAATAAATTCTTTAAACTATAAGCATGTAAACCCATTTTATAAAACAAAGATTTTCATGAAGTTTTCTTAAAAATGGGAAATAAATACTACTTAATTGGTTTAATCAATTTCCCATACAACTTGCTTTTCACCCTTTTTCTGCCATTCTTTTTTTCTTTTTTTGGTTCATTTTAAAACTTGATAGTATAATTTAACTACTTTATAAGTAGATTTGGTTAGACTAGCTTTTGCACCTAAAAAAGGATCCAAACTACATGTTAATGGAGCAGATTGGAATTGATACTCAAATAATTCAAAATCTCATTTTAGCTATTTTATTTAGTTATTATTTATCAGTGTCTGTGAGTTGACAATATTATATGTAGAGTCCAAAGAGAATCATTCTAACTCATTTACAAGGTAAATCACCACATTTTACATCACACAGATGGTTGTGAAAGTTCATGAAATCTATATAAAGCAACACAGCATCTGGTACACAGGAAGGGCTCAGTATGTGATAGGTAATGGGTATCATTTCTTTCATGACTGAAATACAGAGATTATCTGAAACACTAGTTTAAAACTTACGTGGCACAGTTTGGGGGGATGCATGTGGGACATAAGGGAGGAAAATACTAACCCACGTTAGCCAAATAAGACTGATTAGCTCTGGTAATAAGTGACATGTCTTAGCCACATCACCCTTAATAAATTATCTTAAATAATTCCTTTTTTATGTATAAATGAGATCTCCAACATTCCGTTTCAGTTCTAGCCAGGATACTGCCTATAAAGTCTTTTTGTTACAGGCCAATGAAAAGGTATGCCTGGGATTTTTTAGGATTCTAAAGACTTGGACCCAAGAGGAAAGCCTTCAACAGGGTGGAAAAGGGTGAACTATATATTATTTAAAGAATAATTATAAATATATCATAAGACTAACTTTTCCTCCTAGAAAAAGATTCGAACTAGAACTAGAGAACTTAGATTTTAAAAGCTTCAGAGTAAACATCCAAAAGCACATGCTCAATTAAGGTTTAGTCAATAGTAGAAAAGATAACTTCTTAAGGTTGTAATTATCTTCCCCAGCTTATTAAGATTGAGATTGCCTTCTCCAAAGAAACAAGCATTATTTTTTATTTTATGTATTTTTTTAAATTAAGGTATCATTGACGTATGCTCTTACAAAGATTTTGTGTGAATAACATTGTAGTTTCAACATTCACCCATATTATCGAGTCCCCCCCACCCACCTCACTGCAGTCACTATCAGCATAGTAAGATGCTATAGAGTCATTACTTGTCTTCTCCGTGTTGTACTGCCTTCCCCGTGACCTACCTATATGAAACAAGAATTATTTTTAAGGTTTTTGTACAGTCCTGTGAGGTGAGTAGAGTAAACTAAATGAACTCGTAAGTTCTTCTAACACAGACCTTTTTAGGTAACACAAACCTTTTTACGAACCATTTCTGAGCTTAAAGAACAACATTAATAAGTATGTTTTCTACTGTAATCCAGTGAGCTTAAAAAACATTTTTTTTCCTCTTGATTAAAACTTAACTTTGCCAAACACGTTCTCAGATTTTGATTTAAACATTATCAAAGTTTATATAAACAAGTGGAGTAAAAAACACAAGTGTCTGGAACCATTGGTGCTGTGTGGCAGTGCCCAGAAGGACTGGCCAGATCCTGACCAAGCTTGAGGACCTTGAGGGTTCCAGCCACATCTCACCCTGTCACCCTCTGGCACCACCCCAAATTTGGTCATTATAGATAATAATTCTGTCCTGTTTTCTCATCTCCTACTCTATTTCCTTACTTTTTTTTTTATCTGAACCTTCTGCACTCCTCTCTCAAAACTCTGCTCCATTTTTAGAAAGAATTCCGTAGTGCCCTCACGCTCTTCTTAGAACACTTGTTCCCCCAAGAGTAGTGCTTTTTCTTGCTTCCCTCTTGTGGGAGGCTGCTCTCTGCTTTGCATCTTATCTCTGGAGTAGAGTGGATTGGTAATAGTCTCTCTTTCCTCTACTGCTTCCAAACAGTTACTCTTCATTCTTGTGCAGAAAGCTCATGCCATCTACTTCCTATACTAAAACCCATTGTCACTGTCATCTGCTATAATCTTAAGTGGTTTCTTTAATAAAAAGAAATTATAGCTTTGTATTCTTGACTTCCTTTCTGTCTGTTTCTGAACACATCTTTGTCCTTATAATAACCTGCCATCATTCCACTTTGGAAATCATGGGTTCTCGTTGCCTAACTGCCCTTCAAGCTCTTGCCCTCACTGCCACCTGAGTTAGTCATCCAATCCCTAGACTCTACCATTTTCTTCCAGTTTATCAGCCCTTCCTGGACTAAACTTACATTACTACATAGATGAAATCAGTCACTATATCAGGTCCATTTGTCTGATCTGTATTATGATACCAGCCTTCTGGTCTCCTCATCTCTGTAAATCCTCCCCATCCAGTATATCATTCACAGTGTCAATGAGTGATTCGTACAGATAACAGCTCTGACCTGAAGAGTCTGGCTCCAGGCCATAACCTATGTGTGATCTTTCAAGCCTGACCATAAGCTGGCTTTCCCTGGCAGGTCTTATGGGGGCAAGCTGCCCTCCACACATATGACTTGGTGCATAGGTAGTATACTGCACTCTGGTTTTCTACAGAGGATTCCAAGAACTCAGAGCACCCCCAGTGGGCCAGCCATCCTCATCCGACATCTGAATTCTTAGCCCCAGTGCCTCCATTTGAAGGACCTTGGTTCAGGTGCTTTCTTCCTCTCTGCCTCAGAACTTACCCTTCCTAGCCTTCTGTCTTTCCCTCATACTGGTCCTTAGGTCTGTAAAGTGTCAGGAGCCCTTTGTCTAGTACTGCTCAGCTGTAAATTTCCCCCCACCTGCATTGCATGTTGCCTGACCTTTACCCAGTGCTGTTCTGTGGGGAAAAAAATGGAAAAAGGAGAGCAAAACATCCTTTTTGGCCTCTTGTTTGCATTGTTCCAGTAAGTGAATAAAGGTTTAGTTGTTTTCTTCCTGTGTGGCTCATCCTACCTGACCACTAGACACCTGGTAACTCAACAGAAGCATGTTGCTTCCCTAATCAGTATGGCTCCCCGTCACCTATGGAGTAAAACTAAAACTCCGTTGTATTTCATACAAGGCCCTTTATGGTATTTCACTTGCATTTTTATTCTTTTCAACACTACCTTCTTTTCATTTCACACTATCCATTCAAAATTACTTACATAATAACATGTGTTAAGAAATTATCTGTGACCCTTGCTCATTCTGTTCTCTGCCTGGAATTGTCTTCTCTCCTTGTCTGCTTGCTGAATTCCTATTTAAATATCTACACCATGCTCACATGTTACCTCAATTGTGAAATATTCATAACCTCCCTCCCCACCAGCAGAGTTCTGTGCCCTTCACTACCCTGTAACTTATACACCCTTGAAATTCTCATACTCCATGGTAGTTATTTGCTTACATCTTTGTAATTTTTTTCTCCACAACCAGACCAGGTACTTCTTGAGATAAATAATTATGTTTTAAATCATCTTTATATTAATGACTCTTAATGCAATATGCACACATAGACACACTCTAGAAATGTTTGTTGAACTGAAATAATGTATACATTATGTCTGTGTTTTTCCAGAACTTCAGAGATTTTCTTCCCGTTGAAACAAGTCAGTTTTGAAAGCATTTCTGACTATTAGAAACATTTTGGCCAAAATCTCTAGCAAATAGAGCTTTTATCTCTAGCAGATAGGCCCATCTTAAACCTCATCACATGAGGCCTTTGAGTGGTTTTACCATTCTTTAAATTTACATATTAAAAATTCATTTAGTAGTGAATCTTGATAAGACAACCTGTAAAATACATGGAAATCCCGACACTTAGGAACATCCTGTACCATTTAATTACAGGTTTTATGCCACATAAATTGTTTATCAACACTACAGTTTTAGGAATAAAGCCTTAAAGAGTCCAAATGGATTTCTTTTTCCTCTGCAAAATATGCAGCTTTCGTGAAATTATGAAAATTTTCATGTTAGTTCCTGTATATATTACTCGTTTTAACCTTTTCTCAGAACACTGAATTCACACTAGTAGTAAAATATTCTGTTAATTTGATAATTTCTCTAAAGATCTCAAAATACTTAAACATTTTAAGAATCAATCTTTCTTCTATACCTGTGAGTTAGTGTATCTCAACTGGAATTTTCAAAGTAATAACCTCTGTTTCAACAAGTTAAGTGATGATCTGATTATTAATGATGTATCAAACTACCTTATTTCTGTATGTGTGTATGTGTGTGTGTGTGTGTGTGTGTGTGTGTGTGTGTGTGTGTAAAATACAAAACACATAATTTATTTCCAAATGTTGTAGATGTTCTGTAAAATTATAATTACATTTACTTAACCAGCAGGCTACTACAAAGCACAAGGCCTTGTAGTTCATCAGCTATTTATTTATAAAGCAAATTCACTTTCATTCTTATCTTTTTCCATGACATGATGACTCCTTAACAATGAATGAGCTCCTTTAAGGTGATTCTCCAAATGATAGTGAAGATTTGGATAGGCTTGCTCTTACTGTGTCTCAAAGGCAATTTGATATCCTTGAAAGTAAGTACATAGTACTGTGTCTCATAAGCAGTTTGCTATCACTATACTTAGGTATAGATGGAGGGACTGTTTAATAAGCAATCCACTTAGTACATCAGGTTGTATGAAAGAGACAACTTGTACCCACTGCCAGTGACCAATGACTGCCAATGACAGTCCAAAGCCCGCCAGCAAGAGTGACTAGTAAGCATGTGTGGTGGAGAATAGAAAATTTAGCTATAAATTATTTTAATTG